TACTTGGGTCCAAGTCCAAAGCCTTGCAAAGCCCAGCAAAGCTCAGGCTGTGGCTTGAACCTCTCATCTGGGGCATCCCAGGTCCTGCCTGGGGCATCCCAGGTCCCTCCTGCTGTGGGCAGACCAGCCCCTCACCGCCCAGCCCTTGGACGGCAGCTTGGAGGGACACCGACTTCCCACTGCTTGTAAAACAACATCCAGAAGCAAAACGGATTATGGCGATACAACAGTGTGGTGCAGCTTTGCAGTAACGGGGCATTTGCACCTTCAGGTGCATGCTAGCAATTCCAAACACAACACATTCTGCGAAAAGCAGAAATTGTCTGCCACAAGAACTCCTGCCTCATTTTTAATGTACAAATTAAGTGTAAATTCCCAGTTTCCTTTCTGTGGCTAATCCTCCGGATTTATTTGAGTAGATGTAAGGTTAGAGCACATTCATTTTCATGTTTGGAATTTCTAAATTAGTATAAACCAGCACTTCAAAGTAACTCAGCTCCTATAAAACCCAATCCCACGGAGATGCCACAGTGTATTTGGACAGTAACTAGATGCTTTGTCATATTCCCACGTGTATATGACTTTTTTTCTTTGGGAACATTTTCTGACTGGTTTCAAACCACATTTCTATGCCTAGGCTTACATATATGCTGAGACTGTTTATACAGTCTACCCAAGGAGTTCGTTTTATTTAACAACCCGTTATAGTAAAGCTCACTGGTGGGTATCTCATCATTACACCACAAAACACTGTGCTCAATGAGCATGCAGGATCTGACACAAAGCCACAAGAGCCATAAACTTGAGAATTAATGCTGAAACGCATAATTATCCCAGGCCGCCGTGCCTATGTTTTTCAGCACAGGAAACAAACTGGATTTTCAGCCTTTTTTGAGTTGCAGACCCCAAAACATTTCCCATGAGAGATGCAGATCCCTGGCTAGCAAATCTAGATCTAATGAATACAAGTCTGCTTTCCCTAGTTACCTCCCCAGGAGTTTTTAGAAGGAGAGCGTGGGGCTTACCGCGAAAACTTCAGAAGACGAGAACAGGAGTCCGGCATAGCTGGGAGCGTGGGATGGGGTTACCAGCTCAGCTTTTCCTCAAGCGTGCTTGTTCGTCGCACAGTGTGTTTTATTTTGTGTTAAACTCGTACCCCCACGTCAGCCAATGTTTGGACACCCAGAGTGGGAAGATTTGTAGAGATGCCTGGAAATCCACATTCGCTTGCCCTTCTGCTGCAGCCACGGCCGGGAGAGCGGGGCTGGGACTACCAGCAGCCATCCTCATTTCCCTGGCCAAAAAGGCAGCTGCCAGTTGGAGCAGCACAAAGGTACCCGGTCTGTCCCCCTGCCCCAAACACCAGCCCAAGAGACGGGGCAGTGGCAAGAGCATGCCATGGGGGCTTCTCTCCGCTGTGACGTGGCGGTGATGCAGCATGGCCGCCCGCACCACAGGAATGGCCATAACTTTATTTTCAGTGGCGCCGAGGGGGAAGGTGCTGGGACACCCCACACAGCCGCTCCTCTTGGGCCATTGGGAAGCTGGGGATGGGGTCTTGTCTGGTCTGCTTTCACAAGGGCTCTGGCATACCGCAGCTGCGCCTCGTTCCAGCCACACAGCCGGCATGACCTTCAAACCTACTAGGCCGTGGTCCTGCTGGGGCAGAATAGTTCAAATACGAAGTAAACCCACTCGGCGTCCTCGGACTTTGATAAGCTCTGTCAGCACATTGCTGCAAATGACGTTAAGGACAGTCTGCTACAGAGAGCTCATACTCCTTTTCTCTCCTGGCGGCTCTGGTTCAAATTCCACCCAGGCTTCGAGCGGGCAAAACGCAGCAGTGACTCCATGCGAGTATTTCAATTTAACTGCATGCGTTACAAAGACAGCCTGGTATTTGACACAAAATTCATTATAAAAAGCTATTTCTGTTCAGAGAAAGCAATCCTAGCGCTCACCCACTCACTCTCAGTACAAGAACCCAATCAAACTAAATCCTTCCCTAATACATCCTCCTTCCCCTAAGCTGCCGCTGAGAATTCACCTCCTCGGTAAGTGACTTTTTCAGCAGCACTCATTGAGAACAACCGACCAGCCTCCACTTCTGACCCAGACCGTCCTCCTCTGCACGTTTTCTCCATGTCTCACAAAGCCATTAAGCATGTGCTTAATTGCAAGTTAGTGCTTCCATCAAAGCGATGGGCCCATTCCCAGGCCAAGCTGGTGACTCCCCTTGCCCAGCAGTGGGAACGCAGGCTAACCGGCCACCCGGGCTCCCCCACTAGCCAGCAGAGACATGCTGTCCCCAGGTCCACCTGCCCCACCCGCCCTCCGAAGCCTCCTGCGTGGCCAGTCCCACGTGGTCACAGTGGGAGCTGAACAAGCGGCTGCCACCACACTGACCGCAACTGCTCGAGAGCGCTCCCCTGCATGGGGACGAAGCCCCTCCGTTCAGTGCCGGCCTCCCGTTGGACCTCTTGTCACGATGCTGAGGGGTAATGAGCCTGGCCCCTCATCGGGCAGCGCTGCCGCAGCGGTGCCACAGGGACAGCCGGGGGTGGCCGGCACACCAAGGGGCCACTGACAAAACCCATCACTGGCAGCCGAGTGCTGCAGCTCCCTGGCTGAGTCACAGCCGAGTGCTGCAGGAGAGGAGCATTCAATTAGACAGAAGAGCACACAAGGGGGCAATGATTTTCCTTTCACACCGCATTACAGCTAACAGCCCATGCTCCGTATTTGTAACAACTGACTACTTCAGCCGAACGCACACTCGGAATGAATCAGGCCATCATTACGTTTTTATTTTTTCTTCCAGAAGGAGCTTAAAACCCAACCACCTAGTCCACAGGAAGAACTAATGATGAACCACGATTTTGATAATACTGGAGCACCTATCACTGACGCATAGGCAAAAGAAAACCTGGAAACCCACTAACGGGTGGAGAAGTGGAGCTCATCATGGGAAGGCAGCTAGATGCTGATCTGCTCTGCCGAACCAGCTGCTGCTTTAATACATTTTCCTGCTGCGTTCCCAGGGCTGGGACACAAAATGTATTACAGCATTTCATTGTCTTGAAGGTGGAAATTGATGTTAGGTTTTTGCAGCACAAAGAAACACAGTATTACAACTCTTCTCTTGACACTGCCACTCTGGGACTTGAAAATGAAAACAGCTTGTTAACTTGTTGGCAATTCCAATGATTAAGTAAAAGGCAAAAAAAAATGAAAGGCTCTCCTTCTGACTGGTAGGAAGGCTTCCCAGCAGGCTTGGTCAGCAGTTTTAGAGGAATACGCTTCAAATATATGGGAAGTGTAGAAATATTAGGCATGAACAAATATTAATGGTATGCTTCATTTGTATCCTGCTGTACTTGACATCAAAGGATCTCAAAGCAGCTTTACAAATGTAATCTTATGCTACACGTGAGTTAGGTTTCTGAATAATAGTAATAAATACAAGAGTATGCGGCAAATCAGGAAACTGAGGCACCTAGGGTTAAATGACTGGTTCAAGGGCAACGACACAGCAGCAGTGGCAGTCGGGACTAGAACCCAGTTTTCCCCGTCCACCCTATATAACCACCAACCATACCACTGTCTCCATGTAAACAAATTTTCTCGCAGCCTGATCTCGCCACAACGGTAAACATGGAGGGTTTCTACTGACTTCTGTAGGATTGGAGAGACTCGGTGATTTCTAGCTTGCTCCTCTGAAGCTCACGTCCCTTATTGCTTACCCCTTCAAGAACACTGCCATCCTTCACAGACTGCCTTTGTGGCATCAACGGACCACGTACTCCTAGTCACCTTCCTCGCCTACCCAGAGAGAAGGACTGCTACCAGGAGCACGCTTTACAGCGGAACAGCATTACGGGCCAGACCCAAAGACGGAGTGAAATCTCATTTCTGCGCTGAGTCTCCCTCGAGTCACTGGGGAATTAGCTGTCTAAATACCTTCCTGGATATAGCACTTTGTATTTTAAATGTTAATAGACCGGTGTTAGTCATGATTATTTTCCCTACTGAACAAAAGTTAGAAAAAACAGCATCTTCCCAACAGTCCTGGGGCACTGAGGAAGCTCAAGGGAAGCGGGTGTCTTTCTGACATTGACTTTCAGTTACAACTAGGCTGTTAACTCTCTAAGCACCCTCCAGAAGTCTCAGCCACAATGCCTCCTCTTGACCCACATGGTAGAGACAGTTCAATCCTGTGAGGGGCTGAGGGGCTGATTCGCAGGGATGCTGAGCTTCAACCACAGCCAACAAGAACTGCGGGTGCTTTCTCATCCTGTAAATAGGATTCCTGACTCCCAGTGACTCCTCTAAGAGCCGTGACCATGCCAAGGCTTCAGGACTGGGCTCCCAGTGTTTAACGCACTGAGTCTTTGTGGAATTAACTCAAAAGCCAGGACAACTACCAGATTTCCTGGCTGTCAGGCAGCTTGTACTTTGCCACCAGGGAAAAACTACTCAACTTTGCTAGAGTAGGTCTATGAACCAGTGCATTAAGACTACATATTTTAACACAGCATGGAGACGCCACACTAAACACTTCGGTTACCATGGGAAACCTTTCTCTCTTTGCCACTGGCATTGCACAGGGAAGCCCAAGCCCAAACGCTCTATCTTGCCTTTGAAATCAAACAGATGTTTTTACGATCTTTGATGGAGCTGAGTTATGCATCCTTCCCAGAGGAAGGGAAAAATGCAGTGTTAAAGCAGCCCTTTTTTCTTTCTTTCTTTTTTTTCCCAAGCATCGCATATCTTTAGTGAAAGGGAAAACAGGCGTCTTTATCTGGCGTTAACATTTACGGCCACTTGGTAACAAATTGTGACAATAGCAAACTTTTACCCTGAACGCAACGAAACAAGGCGGCCTGTGTGTGCGTGCCCCCTGGCAGGGCTGTCCGGCCGCGGCCGCGGGAGGGGACGTGGGAAGGGATCGGCTGGGCTGGCGATGCTCGCCGCCCTCCCGGCTGCGCAAGGGCACTCACCGGGGAGCGGGGACAGCGCGCCCGTGAGTCACCGCGGCTCACCGGGGACAGGGGCGTGGGAATAACGGCGTCCCCTGACAGACGGGGGGGTCTCCCCCGCAACGCGCACACAGACACACACACGTTCTCTGTTCGGCACGACCCCCCCGCACGCTTGGCTGCAGGGGGAAGCAGCCGGGACCCAACCGGCTTTGACGGCGTGACCCAGTGCGACACGGCTCCCGCGCGAGCGAGGACCGGCGCGGGGCACCGAGAGAGCGGAGGGGGAGCGCGGGGCGAGCGGGGCGCGGGGAGAGCGGGGAGAGCGTGGAGCC